TAACACAGTTAGTACCCTGCGTTGTGATTCATAGTGCAGTGTCAGGCACTTTTGCCCTATAGGATTATTCTTCTCATTTTACAGATGGAGCAAGTGAGGCTTAAAGTGGATGCCCAGCATCACACAGCTAGCTAATGCAGGAGATCCATCAGGATTTGAGCTCCGGTATGCCTGATTCCAATGCCTGAAGGCCGAGACAACGTTACATTGCTAAAAGCAAACCTGCAGTGAAAACACACATCCACCCACCTAGCTGCCTCTGAGAGGAAGCATTTCCAGAGCAGATGTTCCCTCACCTTGTGTGGGTCATGGATGCCTTCTGCAATCTGGTGAATCCTGGAGACCCTTCTCAGCATAACATTTTTAAATGCGTAAAATTAAATACTTAAAGAACAATGAAAAGCAGTCATATTGGAAAATACTTATCAAAATAATGTTTTTTTAAAAAAAAAAGCAAAACAAAAAAAGGAACTCCTTTCAAACCAATAAATGGGAAGGTGTAGCAGTGGCTCTAACACTTGCCCTCATTATCACTTGGAAGTGAAATAAAGTTGTAATTCATTTGCCAGCTGCATTTATGGACCCACCAAATTGCATCCTCACACCTTGATAGGGTGGACCTAAGGTGTAGAACTCCTGTTCTGAAAGAAAGAAGGGGAGATGTCAAATGTAAACTCAGTGGTCTGTGATCGCTTCCCTCTTGATGAGCTGCTTACAATTAATTCATTTGAAATACTTTTTTCTTCCTGTTTCTGAGGAAATGGCTAGCTACTTCAATTCATTAATGTTAGAGAGCCAAAAACATCCTTAAATTGTTCAGGAGGAAAAGAATGCTTTAGGAGGGCAATGTATCTTAAAGCAATGACTTGCCTGGCCCAATGGTGTTTCGGTAGCTGGAGATGGAATTTCCCAACCCTGGGCACCCCAAAAGATCACGAAATCCTTTGAGCTGTGAAGGAGACTCCCAATCAAGGGGAGAAGATAACAATATCTTGGGGTCACATGGTGTGTGACATTCACATTGAAGGCTTTATAAGTAGTAGGTGAGAGAGGTGTTCAGAGAAAAACCTTTCTCTGATCTACGTCCCTTTCAACTATTTTGATTCCATAAAGTAAAGGAAAGAAAAATTAGATGGAGTTCACACAGGGAAAATAAAAACTCTGCTGGTCATTCATTCTCCGGAACATAAGGAGCTCCTTGTTGAGATTTGAAAGGTGGGACATTATTACTTTCATCTCCTCTAGAAACTCGGGTTACACCTTCAGCATAGGAAAACCATACAAAGACACAAGTTTCCAGCCAGACTCTTAGAAAGTGGGGTTTAGGAGTGATTGTTGCAACTGAGTGAAATGGACCTTGCAAATAAAAGTCATTCTGGGGTGATATTTTGAAAGCAGGCTTAATTCCAACGAAGACAATGCAAACTTCTCATTCATTCACTAAGTAATGCATCAACACACCCTGGTCTACTTCCACTGGGGGTGAAGTAAATCCATGTTGGTATTTGGTTAGCTGAAGAATCACAGCCTAGGAACTTGCAAAACCTTTATATCATTCTATGGCATAACTAGATAAGTAATATTACTACTTGATTAAAGCATTTCTACTTTAAAGGGTGAGGCTTTATCAAAAGGAAAACTATTAATAAGAAAAACAAATACTAAGGAAGGCAAGAAAGACCTATACAAGGTTATTCTATTTCTCCAATATGATTGGGAAATAGGAAAATGTGGAATGGAGAGCACCGAGAATTAAGCAGTGACCTTTCAAACACAGTTAACATCTGAACACTAAGAGCAAAACCATAGAAAGTCACTGCTGCCACCCATCAGTGATAAAAAGTTTTATTTATTTCTCAATAGGGGATAAGTCTGTTTGACAGTCACTAATATGGCCTACAATTTCATATATTACAAGGTGAAAAGCAACTATTTTAGAAACTTCAGTCTGGACATGAAATACCAACTGTGATCATTAAAATGTCTCCATTAGTCCTTGACCTCATTCTGCATATCAAACGCAGAAGTTCTTGGTTTCACAGAGACTGACTGTAATAGACAGTTTATTAAAAACCTGGGTCATCAGTGCTAACAAACATGCTGTTTCACTCTTACTTTTTAAGAGATCACAAACAATAATTCAGTCACATTCTGCTAAATGATTTCAAGTTTCAAAGAAAATTTCTACTTCCCAAAAAATATTTGAGTTCACTATTAAGGGCATTGGTAGAGAACATGACAAATACATAATCTTTCTTTCCCGTGACTGTATTACCTAAGTGCTCTGGTCCAAAAGGATACAATTTACTCTCAATATAGGATTTTAAAATTTAAATTTGGCAGTTAATTACTAATACATTTTTTAATAATCTGCAAAAATTGTTCATTGATTCCATTATTTGAGTTTGCCAGTTACATCTGAAAAACTAGGGATAGAAATACAAACACTGAACTCAGAAACTAACTTCACTTATATCACATCCTTTCGCAAATTAGCATGCCAATATAACTGATACAAGGAAAACAGCTTAGCAGCATTGAAACTCAATTTCACCTCAATTTACCAGGCAAGCACTTAGTCACCATTTCAATTCTTAATACATCAAACCCTAAAATGGATTTAGTGGTATCATGGAAAAATATCATGTTCATAGGGATTGCCAAATATAACTGTCCCATGCTGTCAAAATCAGAAGTATACATTAATCCAAAAACAATTGGTTATGTTCTTGGGAAAGATAAGCTAGCAGCGCTTCCAGCAGTGACCGGTCTCTGTTATAGGTGAAATAGTTCAGAGATGATAAAGGTTTAAAAAATCCATTTCTGCAAAAGCTTTCTGGTAACCCTTAACACTTTTTAAGCTTTCACATTTCTCTATCTCACAAGGCAAAAACACACCGTCTCAGGATTCCAGGGCATGTAAGTAGTTTAACATCATTCACATTTTCAGGCACACAAATATAAAACTTCCAAAAGAATATTTTAGAACAAAGCTTTCTGCGTGGTGTGCATTTGCAAAATAAAGGTAGAATTATTCCGACAGATGTAAATGTGCACCCAGTGATCAAATGGAGTCTTAGAAATTCTGTTTTGACAGTTGTAGAACAGCATTTTCATGAGTGATTAATTCAGAGCTGGGTAGTGATATCATCAAAACTAAGTTCTGATGGTTGAGTAATAATATAGTTGGAGGGAAGTATAATCAGCAATCTAATACATGGTACCTTTCGATGTGTTATGATATGTTACTAGCTGTGGCAGCAAAAGTCGCATGTATATAAAAATGCCAATAAAAAATGCTTTGCCATTTAAAAAGTGAATTTTTATGAAAACAGGTGTTCTCCCAAGATGGCAATCATTTATTTAAACTTCTACAGTTCAAAAGGAAGATGACATAACAGATCAATACGCTAGCTGAAAAATATGTAAAGCTGTCCTATGAAAAACACAGCATTCTAGATTACATAACACAGGGATTACACCACATAACCCTGCTGAGCTAGATTTTTGGTCTTCTGTATGTAATATAAAACATTAGGTTCTCATTGCAACCACACATTTTTGAAACTAACAATCTGAAAACACTAAAAGGATAAAGCTAAAATTTTACACACACACACACAATTTTTCTATTCTGAAAAGCACAGTTCTTCAGATACTTTCTTAACCACCTCAGAGAATGCCTAGGTAAAGTCACCAGTTGCTCCTGGTCATGTTTACTTTATGAATCTGATTTCTCTTTAAAGGGGAAATTCAATGCCATTTTAAGATGTTATACGGCTGCCTACGTTTAGATGACATTATTGCCAACCAAACAGAAATATTAAACAGCTATCTCCACACACCCATAACTTAAATTTATAGACCACCATGTATCACATTTCATGATTTAAAAAAAAAAGACGACCTTCTATAAATGTTTTGGCCAATATTAAATTTCAAACACGTGTTTTAGAACAATAGCTAGAAGAAGAGTTTTCAAAAAAAGTTAGAAGAGTAGGGTCATTTCTCAAACATATCCATATTTATGGAAATATAATGGGCATTTGCATTTCTCCCTAGAAAAAAGTGACAGTTTTATGATTCTAGATAAAGTTGCACTTAGACACACTTAGAAATTGGAGAATTTCTTATTTCCATACTTCGGTACTGTCTAGAAACAAAGTCTACACTCAGAAGTACTGTACTATATAGACAGGGTCTAAATGGTTAAGGACAAAGCAACTTTAAAATTCTCTCCTTCATTTTTATTCTTTTAGGAGGCCGGAACACTGCCCCCAACGAGTGCTGAGCCTGTTTTAAGTGGAAATGGTCAATCATGCCTATGATTTCCACAGAAGAGGCAAGAAGCTCCAACGCACACACATTTACATGCGTTGCACAGTGCCAACTATTTCCAACCAAAATAATCATATACACGTCGAGCCGAGCTATTTCTAGCCCAGAAGCGGTGAACGTCTGGAGAGAGTCTGAGGAAACCCAGTAGGCGATGACTACAGGGGAAGGGGGGTGGCGGCTGGGTCCCCTGCCTCCCGCGCGCACAGGGCGCCTCGCACCCGGCACCTGCACCGGGTCCCCGCTGGGCATCCGGGAGCGCGCGCGCGCGTCCGGGACGCACCCGCGGAAAGCAAACAAGCCCCACAGGCCGGGGCGGGCGGGAGCATCCTCGGGCGGGACCCGAAAAGCCTTCTCCTACCTGTCACTTTGCTTGGAGCTGCAGCCGGGGATGCGGCGACGGCCGCTGCCTGGAGACCCAGTGTGTGCGCGCGTGTGTGCGCGCGCGTGTATGTGTGTGTGTGTGTGTGTGTGTGCGCGCGTGTGTGTGCGCGAGAGAGATCTTGTTGGCGGTGCAGCTCACTTATTGCTCCCGGCAACACCAACCCCCTCCCCGCCATACAGAGCCGCCGCCGAGCCCCCGCCCGGCGCGCCCCAGTCCCGCCCTCCCGCCTGCCTCCGCCCCCCCTCCCGGCCTCCCCGCCTCCCCGCCGCGCGGTCCTCACCTCGGCCGAGGTCCCGGGGTCTCCGCCGTCTCCCCGGCGAGCCCACGGGGCAGCGCCGGCCCGCCTGCCCGCCGCCGCCGGGCTCTGCGTGTCCCCGGCTCCGGGCCCCGCGGCCCCTCCGTGGCCCGCCGCTCCCTCCTCCCCTGCCCCCGAGTCTCCCTCCTCGTTCTCGCCTCCCGGCTCCAGAGCCCGAGCTGTCGCCTCGCAGCCCCAACCTGCCCAGGCTACGGAGCATGCCCAGTGCGGCGCGCCCGGGCTGGGCTGGGGGTGGGCAGGGGCCGGGCCGGCCGCCCGGCTGCCGCGAGCCCGCGGGGCGGGGAGGGGACTCGGGGCGGCCCGGGGGCGCAGCGTCGCGGGCCGGGGGCCGGGCGGCCGAGCGGGTGGAGGGCAGCGCTGGGGCAGGTGGGTGGGGCGTCTGGGGAAGCCCTGCCGCTGAGCGCTCGTCTGGGGTCTCCACGGCGGGCCCCGCGACAAGCGCCCAGTGCCTGGGGGTCGCGGCGCGCACTGGGTGGCGCTGGGCGCAGAACCGGGGGGTGGGAGTGCATAGCGACACCCTCCTCGGATGGGAGACCGCAGCCCACTGTGGGTCGTGGGTGGGAGTAAAGAGTGGAGGGGGTTCGAGACTGGAGAAAACTAGTGCCCCAAAGCCGTGGCCGGGTGGGGGGAGTGCTTATTTGTTTATATGATATTTTATCTAATAAACACATGCAGCCCTTGCAGTGCGTCAGACACTGCTCCAAACGCCTTTTATTCATTTAAAACAATCTTCCAAAGCAAGTACTATTATCTTTTTTCACGATGCTTACACTGAGCTACAGAAAGATTAAGTGGTTCCAAAAAGTCTTCCCCCAAAGTGCAACCCGAGACACACAAACCCCCTAGACTTCGGTCCCCGGGATGCTGGGGCGCTGCTCCAGCCAATTGCCGCCTTCCCCCCGCCCTGGAACGGCCCCCAGGTGCCTCTGAGTCACACTCACACTCAGGCCCTAATGCTGTTCAGCTTAGCATCACCCTTTGTGTGGACCCTCACAACGTGCTACTCCAGGACTCCCGGAGGGCTCCCTCCTCCCCGCGGCCACTCCGCCTCCTCCTCCTCCTCCTCCTCCTCCTCCTCCTCCCAGCCGGCGGCCACCAAAACCCGGAGACGTGGCACCTGCGCACTGGGGACTGGAGCCACGCTCGCAGATGAACTGGGCATGCTCAGCCGCCTGAGCAGGTCTGGCTGGCCAGGAGGAAAGAAAGGGCCTGTGTAGGGTAAGAAATGGAAGGGGAATACGTGTGCAAACACTATTCCTGGCTCTGAGCGACAGGGGCAATTGTAGATGCAAAAGGCTCATTCTCCTGGCACATCTTGACCATTTCCAGGCAAGGCCAAGAGTGGAAGATGATCATCAAAAGTTTACCACTGGACATCCTTAAGCGGGGGTGGGGCGCCCTGAGGGTCCACTGACCGTTCCCCAGCTAAACTACTATGCTACAATTTTAGCTGAGCCCTGAAAAAAAGCTTCTCAGCTGCAGAGCCTGTCTGCCTGTGAAGAAGCCAAGAAAAATATTCTACACCAAGTTTCCCTGCAAGACTGGAAAGGAAAGACAGATCCCAGGCAAAAGCTGGGTGGCTCTTCACTGTTAAGGGTCTTCAAGATGTGGTGATTTTGAGTGATACCATCTGGGTAAGGCAGTGCTTCTTAAATTGTAATGGGCCTGCAGATTGCCTGGGGATCTTGTTGAAGTGCAGATTTTGATTCAGCAAGTCTGGTGGGACCTGAAATTCTGACTTTCTAACAAGCTCCTGAGACATGCCTATGTTGCTGTCTTTATATCAGACTTTGAGAAGGGTGAGCTTAGGGCAGTATTTTGGGCCTGTTCTCTATTTTCTATATGATAAAAGTAAGGTTCAGAAAGGTTAAGCGATTTTCCCTAGGTCACACAGCCAATTAGTAGTATAGCTAAGTTCAAAACCAGTTCTCCAGGGCTTCCTATGTATGTTGCTATACTTCCCAGGTAAAACCCGTGGGTAGATGTACTGGAAGCTGTCATCTATGTTTCTTGGCAGTTTTAACAGTGGAACTGAATTTGGTACATAGTGCACCCAAACATACTGTATCAGTTAGTCTTTGCTGTGTAACAAATCACACCAAAACTTGGTGTCCTAAAGCAAAAAGTACTGATGAGTTCACAATTCTGTGAATCAGCAATTTGGGCTGGAACCAGGTGAGGCATGCTGGTATTTATCCTGAGACCATTCATGCAGCTACAAACATGTGGAGCTTAGCACCCCAACTGCATGGCAAGGATGACAGGTGCTCCTCTATGGCTTCATCATATGGTGAGCTCCTAGCTCCCAGCAGCAAGGGAGGGCAAGCCCTCCATTTGCTAATGTCCTGCTGACCAAAGAAAGCCATATGGCCATGCTCAGATTCAAAACGTAGAGAAATAAACTTCACCTTTGATAAAAGGAGATGCAAAAGAGTGATCTTTATTTTTTCTTCATCTACCACATACATCAACTTCTGTAAAGCCAGCCCTGCTGCCTTAGAGTTCAAACTTTTGTAGATTAAGCCCATCTTTCATTTTATATGTTGGTAAACCAAATCACAACAAACTTTTGTTGTTCCAGTAAAGTCTTCAATCTAAAACTGAGTTTATTAAGGAATCACAACTCAATGGGGTATAAACCTTAAATATTTTTTTTTCAAGTTCTAAGTTCACTTCATTTCTGTTGACGCTTCCTTTATTTTGATGACATCTTAGACCGTCATTCATTCATTCAACAAATATTTTTGAAACCTTTTATGTGCCAGGCACTATTCTTTGCCTAGGATCCTGAAGTAAGCAAGAGATAAAATTATTGCCTCTGTGAAACTTGGATGCTATCAGGAGACTGACAATAGCATATAAAAATATATAACATTGAGTAATGCTAAGAACTATGGTGAAAAGGCTTCCTGAGGCGGGGTGGGAGGACAGCTATTTTAGATGAGGATCAGAGAAGGCCTCTCTAAGGATGCAACGTTTGAGTGGAACCTGAATGTAAAAAGAAATGAGAATATCTGGGCATTTCCAGCAGAGGAACCAGCAAAAGCCCTGAGATGAGAACGTGCTTGGCACATCCAAGGAAAAGAAAGGAGGCCAGAACAGACATGGAGTGAGCAGAATGAGGGTCACAAATACAGCAGGGGGCTAGACCATAGAAGGTCACAGAAAGGATTCTGGGCTTTAGTCCAAGTATGACACAAACCCACGAAGATGTTGGACAGGGATGTGACATGATCCGATTGATGGTTTAGAGAGCTACACATTGAGAATGTCTGTAGGAGCCTATTCTACAGATACAGCAGTGGCTCCACTGGGGCAGATTTTACAACTTTTCAGTATTAAAAATCAGACCAGCTTAAACCTTCAATTTCATGCTCAGTTTAAATTCAGTCTTGTCCCCATCCCCATTGCAAACCCAGCTGGGTCCCTTACTTCTTAAAGTGGAAGATTGGTGGCACAAGATCTGGCCTTTAAAGACTTTTCTGTGGGCGCCCCCACCCCTGCTCCTTGCCCTTCAGGGCCTGGTTCTTCCAGCGTGTTGGGCAGGAGGAAGGGAGAATAAAAGGACTGACTGCCTCTACCCTTGACCTGTGGCCATTATGGTCCTCCCTTGGTTCACAGTGGCTGCTTCTCTGGCTAGGAGACCAGTGACACACTCTATGGCAGGCATCCAATGCCAGCTCTCTGCCATGGAGGACATAAGGGAGGCCCTTGGAGGGTCCTTCTAGAACTCCCTCCCCCTAATTCTCCTTTTCTCTCCCAAGCTTCTCAGTTCTCTTTGTGGTGGTCCAGTCCAGAGCATCTCAATGCTGGGGCTCACGTGCCAGGTGGGCCACCCTATGGGGTAGGATATCCACAGGAAAGTTAAGCTCAACAGCCTTCCACAGGATCCACTGTGGAAAATGTATCCGCAGTATCCACAGAGAAAATGGAGAAAATTGCTCATCCCAGGTCCAGGCTAAAGGATTGGCCAGAAGGAAGGCAATGGAGATGGAACTGTTTCTGCCACACAGAGGATGCCTGGACCCAATTATGAAGGCTTTTTCTAGAATGTGGATCTCTGAACACATTTGTGCTCAGTTGCAGGCGCTAGTGATCAATTACCAGGCAATATCTAGCTTGTTATAGGAATCAACATTCACCACAAGAAAGGCGGAAGCAAACCACCAATGCAACCAGTTGCTACTTTGATTTTTATAAAGTCTTACATGTTGTCATTGTCACTTAATATGAAAGGAGAGTAGCAACAATAAGGACCTTTATGTTAATAGTCTCAATTGTATTAAGGAAAGACCATATCGTATCTCTTTTAGAGGAAGGGCAGTACATCTCTTGTTCCAATTTAAAGTGACACATTAATCACAATTTCCACCTAGCTCTTTGTGTGCTGTCCTTTAGAAAGAAAGAGATCACCACTGGCCCCAGGTTGCCTTAATCAGAGACATACATCTTTGAAAATTGGACAGCACACAGCCTGGCCTGATGTGAGCCCCCTCTGCCCAGGGTATCCTTTCCCTAATCTTGTGTCTTCTTCCATTGTGTGCTCAGCAACTAAAACAACTCTTAGGGTCGGGCGAGGTGGCTCACACCTGTAATCCTAGCACTCTGGGAGGCCAAGACGGGCTGATTGCTCGGTCAGGAGTTCAAAACCAGCCTGAGCAAGAGCGAAACCGTCTCTACTATAAATAGAAAGAAATTAATTGGCCAACTAATATATATATATAGAAAAACATTAGCCGGGCATGGTGGCGCATGCCTGTAGTCCCAGCTACTTGGGAGGCTGAGGCAGGAGGATTGCTTGAGCCCAGGAGTTTGAGGTTGCTGTGAGCTAGGCTGACGCTACGGCACTCACTCTAGCCTGGGAAACAAAGCGAGACTCTGTCTCAAATAAATAAATAAAACAACTCTTAGGACACTGAAAACTAAAGAAAACAATAATGAAAGAAAATTGCCCAAAGATTAAGTTTATGTACAATGTAATGGCAGATGGAAAAAAACACTAAAAACATTAAACTCTCTGTTAATGAATCCTTGATTGAAGTTTAAAGGTATAATAAAAAAAAGTAAAATAGAGCACATAGTTTAATTCCATCCCAAAGTACTTTCTTAAGAAGAGAATTTTCTATGTGTGAGCCAGCCTTAGGGTATGACTAGACTGCAGATGTTCAAATATATTGTGTAATGATGATGATTGTTATGATGGAGGTATAACATATATACC